CCATCCTCACCTAAAGTCAATCCAAGGCCAAGAGAAATACAAACAAAACACCCCAAAAGGTTCAAAGGCAGGCTACATCTAAGTTATAGCACTGTACAGAATAGCCTAGAGTCTTTGCAAAAGAGCACACATGTACTCTGTGAAAGACACAAATAAAATGCTTGAATACAAACTGCAGATAGAATTATTTGACTTTACAACAAAGCCTGATTCCTTTTCTATATGACATGATATATGGCTAGGGCTTTCGTTTTTATTCTCTCTTTTTTATGTACTTAAAAAAGAATAATACAAACACAGAAGCAAGTATGATAGTAATTACAAGCTTTGCTTCATACATCATCATATTTGTATGATGAGAATAGACCCTCCCTTCAAAATAGCCCTCTCAGTTTATCAAGGCTCAAAGTAAAAAGGGGGAAAGGTTTAAAGTAATTTCATATTTAAGGGTGGTGGCTTGACCAAGCCCCAGGCTGAATATGAAACCTTAGTGGCTTCCGTGGCTCACATAAGGGGGTTTAATCGAAACCTACTGGACCCACATCCCTATGTGGTCACAGTTAACTCTCATTAAACTCCAGTCTTCCCACATCTCTAGCTTTTAGAAGCTGGCTGGATAACACACATTTTTCTTTTTAAAATTAGTTAATTAATTAATGAGGTACCAGGGACAGAATCTAGGAGTTCACACACTCTAGCCAAGGGCTCTCACTGATCTCTATCTCTGTTTTCAGTATTCTAATTTTTAAATGCTGATAATTATTCTAAAAGTTCAAGAATAGAGTGGCTTGGCACTCGGGGTAATGGTTTATAAATCTACACTAAAGGGCCTTTTTTTGACAGGCTGACCTCAAATGCAGCATGTAGCCAAGGATAGCATAGAACCTTGTTCCTACTGCTTTTACCTCAAGTGCTGGGATTAGACATGTGCTCCCATGCCTGGTTTATGCTGTGCTGGGGATTGAATTTAGGGCATGGTGCATGCTGAGTAATTACTCCATTGAAAAAGTGTGTGTGTGTATGCCACATTTGTGAGGGTGCCCATGGAGGCCAGAATAAATCTTCAGATCCCTAGAAACTGGGACTTGATATCCTTGTTTCTTCCACATGCTGTCTCTGACCTCCACATGTGTGTATACTCTCTCTCTCACACTCACCCCTTATAGTTAAAAAAAAAAGGTAATTTACGGGGCTTGAGAAATGATTCAGGGTTTAAAAGAGTCCACTACTCTTCCAGATGAACCAAACTCAGATTTCAGAGCCAGCATGTGGGAGTTGCTTCTCTCTTCTACCATGTGCATCTGGAGATTAAACTCAGGTCATCAGGCTTGGAACCAAGCACCTTCACTAGCTGAGCCATCCTACTGGTCCCAGTGTAAAGTCTTAGCTTACCAAAGCAATAGCAAAAAGAAAGATGTCAGAGAATCAATACCATCTCTGCTTTCATTGAACATTCTACTAGAAATACCCGCAGCAGAAACACTATTGGAAAGAAAAATATGTTTGTTTTGGGCCCTCTGGTACAGGTATCGAGAGACAAAAACAACATAAGTAAATCACAGAGGAAAAATATTCTTCAGAGCATTAAAACCAAAATACTTGTTTCTAAGTAATTGAGACCGGCTATATTTATGTGATGGGAAACCCAAATCATGATTAATTCACACTGAGGCTTTAAAATAATGGGGTAGAAGTTATTGATTGTAATTTCTAAAAGATACAATTTAAAAATTTATGCTGTCAGCTTTTTTAAACTTCTAGAAAGCCAGTTGAAAATACTATATTTGCTTTGACAAACAAATTAAACTGTATTTAAATCAAAGCTATGATTTACTGGTGGTTTTAATAACCACCAGGGAATCAGAAAAGTGTTCCATTTTTCCATTCAAAAAGTCACAGGGAGCTGGACTTGGTGACGCACACCTATAATCCCAGTTGCTAAGGAGACTGAAGCAGAAAGATCAGGAAGGAGCTCAAGGCCTGCCTGGGATACAGAGGGAGTTTAAGATCAGACCTGGTCAGGTGTGTGGTAGTGTGACTCTTTAATCTCAGCACTCAGGAGGCAAAGGCAGACGCAGATAGATCTCTGTGAGTTCAGGATCAGTCTGGACTATACAGTGAGTTCCAGGCTAGCCAGGACTGCACAACTAGACCCTGCCTCAAAGGGAAAAAAAAAAAAAAAAAAAAAAAAAAAAGAATCAGCCAGGGTAACTTAATGAGACCCTATCTCAAAACAAGGGTTAGGGTTGGGACCACGACTGCCTACCATGCATAACTCTAGGTTAAAGAAAAAAAAAAAAAGTCAGCCGGGCAGTGGTGGCACACGCCTTTAATCCCAGCACTTGGGAGGCAGAGGCAGGCAGATCTCTGTGATTTTGAGGCTAGCCTGGTCTCCAGAATGAGTTCCAGGACGTCCAGGACTGTTTCACAGACAAACCCTGTCTGGAAAAAAACAAAAAAGAAAAGTCATACAGATGCCAGCATTTTATATTTTTTGTATGTTTGGTTGTGAGCCTAGCCTTCAATGGCTGAGCATTTTGTTTTTATTTTATTTTTTGGCTTTTAAATGTCAATCCCAGTTCCCTCACACTCCTATCCTCTCCTGTCCCCCAACCTCCATCCCATCCCATTTCTGCTCCCCAGGGAGGGTGAGGCCTTCTATGAGGAGTCTTCAACATCTGGCATATCATTTGGAGTAGGGTCTAGGCCCTTCCCTGTGTGTCTAGGCTGAGAGAGTATCCCTCTATGTGGAATGGGCTCCCAAAGTCCATTCGTATACTAAGGATAAATACTGATCTACTACCAGAGGCCCCATAGACTGCCCAGTCCTCCTAACTAACATCCACGTTCAGGGAATCGGGGTGGGTCCTATACTGTTTTCCCAGCTATCAGACTGGAGTCCATGAGCTCCCCCTTGTTTAGGTCAGCTGATTCTGTGGATTTTTCCAGCCTGGTCTTGACCCCTTTTCTCATCACTCCCTGTCTGCAACTGGATTCCAAGAGTTTGGCTCAGTGTTCAGCTGTGGGTGTCTGCTTCTGCTTCCATCAGCTACTGGATGAAGGCTCTAGGATGGTATGTAAGGTAGTCATCAATCTCATTATAGGGGAAGGGCATTTAAGGTAGCCTCTCCACTATTGTTTAGTTAGTTGGGGTCATCCTTGTAGATCTCTGGACATTTCCCTAGTGTCAGATTTCTCCTTAAATCTATAATAGCTCCTTCTATTATGGTATTGCTTTTCTTGTTCCTCTCTGTTCTTTCCCTGTCTCAATTTTCCTGTTCCCTTATGCCCTAGATAGAAGTCTTAATCAACATAATAAAATCAACATTTTTGGACCACTGAGTCCATTTGTGCACTAGGAATACACCAGGGTTCCACTGTCAGAGGTCCCATAGACTCCTGAGACCCATGTTCAGGGGTTCTGGGTCAATACAATGCTGGTTTCCCAGCTATCAAACTAGGGTCCATAAACTCCCCCTTGTTCTGGTCAGCTGATTCAGTGGGTTCCTCCAGCCTCCACCAGCATTTTATTATCTGTCTTTGTGAAGTAATCATGAGAGATGTTAAAAGGCAAGATCAAATGATATTTCTTGAAAATATTTTCAACTTATAATACATCTTATTTAGTGGACCAATTATTATTTACAAGTTTAAAGAAAGCTAGGAAAAGAACTTAAGGTAAAATGGGTATTGGATTTAATCATTATCTTCTCTCTCTCTCTCTCTCTCTCTCTCTCTCTCTCTCTCTCTGTGTGTGTGTGTGTGTGTGTGTGTGTGTGTGTGTGTGTGTGTGTACAGGCATGAACCTGTGTGAGCTTATAGAGATCAGAAGAGGATGTCCTGCTCTTGTTCTATTCCTTGAGACAGAGTCTCTTGTTCAATCTGCAGGTATGCTGATGGCCAGCAAGCCCCAGTGAGCCTGTCTCCACCCTTGCCTGGCTTTTGCCATGGGTGCTAGATTCAAACTCAGGTCCTTATACTTGCACAGAAAGTGCTCTTACCCATCTCTCCAGGTCCTTTAATCCCATTTTGTTCCATTTCTGGGAACTGAACTTAGGGCCTCATATGGGCTGGACAAGCACTCAAACACTGATCTATATTCCCATCCCATTATTCAGATTTTTTTTTCAAAGGTGTTTTCCACTGAGGAAAACAGTCCTGAAATAAAAATATAATTTTAAAGACAGCAAAATGAAGGCAGTGTCCTAAATTCATGACATAACTAGATAGGTCATTTTGGAATGTTGCTGTGACATGTTCACAGTGAAGGGTTTGAGATTGCTGGTTCTTTGATTGGATTCAGAGAGTCAAGGAGGCTTTCCGGGTACACCTGTAGCTCAGAACTAGTTAAGTCATCCCTTCAGGTTTTCTTTTTTTTTAAAAAAAGTAACCCATATATTGTACTTGAGCACATTAAATTATATTGCATTTATGTCAAGTGGTAGAAACTCAAATTAAGTGAAAAAGCTGAACAAGTGGCTTGCTCCCTCGTCCCAGAGCTTCTCTAGCTTTAAAATAAGGACGGCATTGTATGGGACTTAAATAAATCATTTAAAGGAAATGGAAACAATTCTAATACATAGCAAGTGTCCAATAAATGGCAGCTCTTTTTATTGTTATACAATAGGCTGGTTATACTTACTCTTTTGTTGAGACAGATAACAGGCCACAGGCTGCACCCCAGGGTGCAGCAGCAGCAAAGACATCCACACAGCAGCCATTTCACATTGACAGGGAGAGCCTTTTTCAGACATGAGTTCACACGGCCAATGCTGGTCTTAAATTCTTCTGGAGCCACCTAAAACAGGGGGACTAACTTAATGAATTTGTGGACAGCTTCTCACCAGCCTCAATCCTAAGGAAATATCTTATCAGAAATACTTCAATATCTCAATATATTCTCTCCATAAATGTGTATCACATACTCTTGGAAGACTTCAGTGAGTGAAGCAATATAATTTCATGCTTGAAGAACCTCATGGAATATCCACAATGCTATGGAATGACCAACAAGCAACAGAAAGCAACACAGCTGATAGTAAGGGAAAGCCATCAGGCATTTTTGTTACCAAACAGTCTTGTTACGGCAATGGTGCTCACAGTCTTCAGGCACGCTGACTGTTTTATGGTTAGAAGCATAAAACAAAAGCAAAAAACCATACCACTAACCAGACTAGACGGAATTAAAATTAGGCACTATAATAATCCTGAATTAGTTTGAAATAAACTCTTAACATCTTTTTATTCTGGAAAATCTGCAATATAATAGTTAAACTTGCTGCTGATAGCAGGGAAATACATTAACAAGTGATAATATCTGACAATTATGTTTAAAGTAGTCTGTTCATATTCAGCACACATCAGATTCATAACCATTCTGAGTTCTGAAGGTTGAAAAGTCTTTACACAAATTTAACATTTCTGGTTACTGCCTCAGTCCCTGCAAATAGTTGTTTGTGCCTCTCTATAAACAGTGATAGAATTAATCCAAAGGCAGGAGCAGGACCCATGTAGTTAAGATTTACATAAAAAAATTCCCCTTGCAAGTTACATGATTCAAAGGAACACTAAAAATAGTTTGTTTTGGGTGAAATCATGTTTTTGGAGAACCAAGATGATACGGCATTACTCAGAAAGTTGGCAGACAGTAAATCCAAGGGATTAAGTTCGGCATCTGGTTGGGAAAGCAAGATGTTGGTAGAAAAATAAGTTGCTGTAAAATGAAAGCCCCACTACAATGTGTGATATCACAAACCAAAAAGCTTCACTCTTCCCCTTAAGAGATTGTACTAGAGGAATAGCACTGTCACGTTTAAAAATTTTTTTCAGCAGGCATGTCTCAGAATCCACACAATGGATGTTATAAAGATCTGATTCAGCCCTATCATAATGAAAACATTAAGTAGATAAGCTCTATTAGAGTTGTTTGTGTCATCCATTACTCAGTCCATGAAATGGCTATTATTTTGCTAACAATGACCAGTTTTGAAACTGTTGGGCTTAAAACTTTATTTACATGGGAAAAATGGACTTTATTCTCCATCTACACTGTTGAAACCATAACAGTGACAGCTACTGTGCACCAAGAATTCCAATGAGCTGACATTTCTGTGGGTAAATATGAAAATAAATTCACAGAATTATGTTTTATTATTGAAATGAGAAAACATTTTTGCTGTGTCTGGGAAAATAGCAGGAAAAATCATTTAATTTTTCTGCATCCTGGTATGAGGTGAAATGATAGTCTTTGTTTTAATTTTTAAACTTATTTATTTATGTACTTTATGAGAACTCTGCACTTATTGCCTGTATGCTAGAAGAGGGCCCCAAATCTCATGATGGACGGTTATTAGTCACCATGTGGTGGTTAGGGATTGAACTCAGGGCCTCTGGAAGAGCATCCAGTGCTCTTAATTGCTGAGCCATCTCTCCAGCCCTAATAGTCTTTGTTTTATGTAGTCACAAGGAAACTTCAAAGCTCTCCAGATTTTGATATTTTTTTCAGAGTTATTCTTCCCATCTACTTCTTTCCTCTCCCTTCTTGTCAGAACCAGGGATGGACCTCTAGTGCTAGCCCACACTAAGCAAATGTTCTACCATGTCGTGGAGCAATTCCCTTGTATACTGTAAAGACTTGACACTGGAATTGGTTTAATAAAACACTGATTGGCAGGCAGCCAGGCAGGAAATATAGGTGGGGTGACCAAACTAAGGATTCTGGGATGAAGAAGGTGAAGTCAACAGAGTCTCAGGGAGACACAGAGATGCAAGATGGGCATGCCTTACTGAGAAAAGGTATTAAGCTACGTGGCAAAGCATAGGTAAGAAATATGTGTTAATTTATTTTTTTTAAATTTATGTATATTCATTGTATGTACATTGATGCTTTGCCTGCATGTATATCTGTGTGAGGGTATCAGATCTTGGAGTCATAGACAGTTGTGAGCTGCCATGTGGGTGCTGGGAATTGAACCTAGGTCCTCTGTAAGAGCAGTCAGTGCTCTTAACTGCTGAGCCATCTCTCCAGCCCCAAAAATATGGGTTAATTTAAATGTAAGAGCTAGTAACAAGCCTGAGATATTGGCCAAGCATTTACGATTAATGTTAAGTTTCTGAGTGACAATTTGGGAACAGCCTCAGCGCAGGGACACTCCACCTACACTGCCACTTGCTCCACCTGTAGTCCTTTGATGTTCTCTGAAAAAACAAGGTGCCTAGTTACTATCAAAAGATGTATCTGTCCCAAACAGCAATATTTACCTTCCTTCTCGTTGCAGGGAATCACTGAGTAACCAAGTAACAGTTAAATTAAGATAGTTTCCAGCTCAGAGGCTTTTTCATCTTCACCTTCTACTTGAGCTAAGGGACTCAGCAGTCTATGAGGGGCTAGAGTGCTTCCTTCCTTCCCTTAGGCATTTATTCTTACTCTCTCAACTCTGTAACATTGGTTCCTCCTACGAATAGGCTGTAATTTATTTTCTTTTTCTTTTTTTCCTTTTTGTTCTTTATTTTGGTGTTTTTGAGACAGGGTTTCTCTGTGTAGCTTTGGAGGCTGTCCTGGCACTTGCTCTGTAGACCAGGCTGGCCTACAAACTCACAGAGATCCTCCTGCCTCTGCCTCCCAAGTGACCGGATTAAAGGCGTGTGCCACCACCACCCATCTAATTTTTTTTTTCTTCTGTGAGGAAAATTCCGAGAGTAAATGAGGTAATAGCTACAAAGCTACTTAGCACAATACCTAGCATATATTAGGCACTCCACAAATGGAGCTGTTGTCCACATTTCATAGTGAGACTACAGGCAAAAGAAGCCATAATTTGTGTTCTTTAAGCACTTAAACACTATGTGTTCATCTCCTGAAAAACTCAACCCCTTTACCTCATGGCCCAGGAGTGCTTAGAGAATAGCTTTTCTCTTCTATCTTTTGTTTTCTTCTCTCCCTCTTTTTCAAAAAGCAAAACACAACAAAACATCAACAAAAACCAAAAACACCCAGCAGGTATAACTACAGTCACTCTGTGATGCACGCAATTTTTTTAAATAACAAAATTGCTTTCATATTATGACAATAAATTTTAAAAAACCAAAAATCTTTTCTGCCTCAATTTCACTTCAGAATGGTTTTTCAGTGAAGGCTCACTGAGTTTGTCACCTTAAGGCTGTTCCCACACCGGCCAGAGACCTTGTCCTTGCTAAATCACTTCCACATGCGGCAGCACGGAAGCACATTCCAGTTGTCAGGACAAGTGCACCTCTGGGGTCCTCACCATTTTCTTTTTCATTCTTTTTTTATGTATTTATTTATTTTTTTAAATTTTATGTGCACTGGTGTTTTTGCCATGAGTGTCGGGTCCCCTGAAACTGGAGTTATAGACAACTGTGAGCTACCCTGTGGGTGCTGGGAATTGAACCCAGGTCTTCTGGAAGAGCAGTCAGGGCTCTTAACTCCTGAGCCATCTCTCCAGCCCGTCACCATTTCTAAACCTGACTTCTAGCACTTACTGTAAAGAACCACTTTGCAATATGAGATATTCTTGTGTTGGCATCTTTTTAAGCCTTGCTTATTTTGAGACTATTGGTTAAACTTATTTACTGATCTTTCTGTGTATGTGACTACACAGGACAACCTGCAGGAGTCAGTTACATCCACTTCGTGGCTTCAGGTTCTAACTCAGGTTATCTAGCAAGCACCTTTTACCCACAGAGCTATCTTGCCAGCCTTGAAAATACTTAAAAAAAAAAAAAAAGGAGTTTGTAATTATGATTTAAATTCTTACTTGAAAAAAGTATGCAAATACTGATGAGAAAATTAAATGTAAAGAATTACACCAGAGATGGAAATGAATCTCTCTAGCTGGTGGTGGTGACACACACCTTTAGCCCAGCACTCTGGAGGCATAGGCAGGCGGATCTCTGTGAGTTCGAGACCAGTCTGGTCTACAAGAGCTCATTCCAGGACAGCCAGGGCTATGCAGAGAATCCCTGTTTAAAAAAAAAAAAAAAAAAAGGAAGAAAGAAAGAAATGCAATCTGTCCAGAGGAACAAAACAGTGTTCAAGGAATCTTCGAAAAGAAGTTTCTTTTAGCAGGGAAGAACAGTGTTGTAAAAGGCTGAGAAAAGGGAGAGTGGACTTTCCACGTCAAGCACAGGCATGAAACCAATCATACAGCACCATATACACAGTTTGTTACTGTTTCTGAAAATGGAAACAACCAAACAACACTCCTCAAATTCAGCAATTTCCCTTCTCCAAACCCTCTACTTTTCTTTTTTTCAAAACCTCTACTTTTAACAGATATTCTCTTACTACAGACACATGAAAACTCAAATGTCCAAGGTAGTAAAAACGAGAAATCAAATTTTGGGTCATAAGACAAATAAACCTATTGAAAAGAAAAAGCATGCACTAGAATCTCAGACAACAAACTACAGTCTGCATTTTGACTTTAAAAAGATGCCACGGTTGGCCTGGGGAGGGGGCTGTATTCGAGTGCAAGTCATAAAGCAGAGATGGGGGTGAGAATCGACTCTCAGCTTTAAACATGGGGAGAAATTTTTAGTTAAGTGCAGATTCCAAGCTAGTACCAGTTGACTCATTCGCTTGTACACAGCTGAGTATTTTCAGTATTGAATGTCGGCTGGGAGCCTCTGACTTTTTAATTGGACAGTAGGCTGTAAAGGAACATGTCATCCCTTTTGACTCTCTTGAAAAAAAAAAAAAAAGAAAACAACATCATGAAGGTGGGGGAAAGGGTCATAATATTTTATAACAGGATGCAAGAGACTCAGAAGAAAATCGAAGCAAAGCCCAGCAGGACTGATTTGCCTCCCTCACTGTGAAGAACACAAGCATAGCAATCACTTGTCATATTGGATCACAATAAAGGAGGGCAATTTTTATGGCTCACCATTCCCAACACTACACCGTGCTGTCACCATAACACCCTTCACTTCCTTCAAGCTGAGAATCGGAAGCTCTCACTTCTTTCTGGTCAACAGGATCTCTGTGTGTATCTACATACATACCTACACGATTTGTCCTATCATGGTATGAGAACTTACCTCTAGTGAAATGGGAAAAAGAATTAACACAAAAGAAGCAAGAAGTTAATACTGAGTTGTGGAACTTACAAAATGGCCTTTTACATTTTCCGAATTGACTGCAAGTTTGTTTACCTCAAGCCAGCTACTTAGAATAGCTCAGGCATGCCAAAAGACCGACTTTCATAAAGGGTAATTCTTTTCTGTTACATATTACAGTTATCCATTTTAAGACAATTTACACAAGGAGTATTAAGTTGGGAATTAAGACCTTTTTATTTAGTTTTTCGTATTTATTTAAGCCTTGCTCCAGTTATTAGAAAAATGGTTTAATAATCCACACTACAAGTGAAACAGTACCTACTGAAGAAAAAAATCCCATTAGGGAATTTATGTCATAAACATGTAACTTTAAAAATCAAATCTCTAGGAACTAGAAATGAAGCTCAGCAGTACAGCTCGTGCTTAGTGTGAGCAAGGCCCTGGGCTTCATCCACAGCAACAAAACTAACCAACAAACGTCAGACTTTCAATGTTACTTTTAGTGCTTTTCTCATTGTCAAATACACATTGAGAAAACATTGCACTATCATTTCTGCATTACCTAATGTATACCTGTGTACACACGAGAAAATGTGAACAATACAAATAACACATACTTGAACATACAGCCACACATCAGTATGTGTACTATAAAAATAGTTTCCTGAAAAGAATAGATGTTTTAGCTAGGCATGGTAGCTCATGCTTGTAATCATAATAATTAGAGAGCTGAGGCAGGAGAATTGCCACAAGTTTGAGGTCAGTTTGGGTTCTAGGAAGCTTGGGATATATAACAAAACCCTGTTTCTAAAACAGAAAAAGACACACAGATTAGGAAAAAAGAGAGAGAGAGAGAGAATGGATGTTTTGAAGAACAACTCCCATCCAGGTTATATAGGTTGTATGAAAAACAGCTTACCTTTCTTGACATTCTGATTTAAAAAATCCTGATATCTTATGGGTCAATGGAATTTTTAGTTTCAGGAAGTTTGGAAAGGAATAAGAAGGTATGAAAAGGTATTCCAAAGATTACTTCAGCACACAAAACTGGCTAATTTAAAAAAAAATGGATAATGCTCATTACGCCTGAGAGCTATGTTTACTGACAGTTTTCTAGAAATTTCTAGGCCTCTAATTTTAAACATGTAAAAAAAAGTTAAACTAGTATTAAAGCTGGAGATATTTACACGTCTAATTTTACACATTTGAAGAAAATGCTTATTATTAATGTTTATAAAACACATCTAAGTTTAAGCTACTGCTGCATTTCGAGAAGTATTCTGAATGATTTAGGAGAGGCAAGTAGAACATACTAGAAACCAAAGCCAAACATTCACACCAAAGAGATTTTCCCCTCCCTCCCTCCCTCCCTCCCTCCCTCCCTCCTCCTGCCTCTTTCTCTCTTATTGTGTGTGTGTTCATGCACTTTCATGTGCAAGAGTAGATACCAGAGATCAGAACGACTTCAGGTGTCTTTGAAGCTCTCTCACTAGCTACCTTTTTTGGGGGACAAGTTCTAACTACATAACCCAGGCTAGCCTGGAATTCATGACCCTCTTGAATGCTAGCACTGGGTTTATAGATCTGCGCTGCCACAGCACTCAGCATGATATTTTAATATACATATACATAGTGAAATAATTACTACAGTCAAGCAAATTAACATATATAGCTATTCATCATTTCTTTTAGAGAACCTGAAATCTGTTCATTTGGTGAATTTTCAGTATATAATACAATATTATTTATAATCATCATGCTGTACATTAATCTATACTTATAGATTTAAATCCTGGTAAGTCTGAATTTTGAACAAGAATGCTAGTCTATACAGTTGAATACAGAGAAACTTGCAAATAGAAAGGTAGTCATTTATTGCTGTGAGTCCAATTTTACAAACTCAATCTAAAAGGAAGAAAAACATCTAACCAAAAATGCAATGCTTTTATTTATAATAAATGATGCATGACAAATAACACTTTAAAAATAATACTCAGCTACAAAGATAACTCTGGCAATGAAATATTGGAAAATATAGATCTAAATGAAAACAATTACAGGTGCCTGTGCTGAGCAAAATAGGCGACTCTGGAAAAACTGAACAGGTAAATAAACAATGGCTGACATTAAGAAACATCAGACAAAATAGCTGGCCAGAGGCTGGTAGTCATGGTAACACCGATTAGTCACTGCGAACACAGCTTCCAAGCAGGGAGGCCTCCTGTTATTTGGCTTCATTACCAGTGAGTCAAAGCATTTGTCATAACATTGAATTCGCCATAACACACTGCATTAGAATCAGAAAATTCAAAGCAAACTCACTTACCTTCCCTGTCAGAACTGAGGGAAATTCCGTATCAAACTTGTTGCTTAATCCAAACCTTAAAAACAAAGATAGAACAAAATCTATTCTATTAAGCACATTTAACCCTTTCTCCAATAGGTTATAAATCCATGCATTTTGTTTGGCCTTAAGATTTAAAAACATGCCCCGAATATGCACAATGTTATGATATATATACCAGTTAAAGCCAAGCAATAGATTAAAAACTCCTAAAAATAACATTAAACTGAAAAGATATGTTCCAAATAAAACTTTAACACTCACACAAATAATTTTTTGACTATTTGTCCAAATTAGCATTTAAAGAAATCCAAGGAAAGCAATTGTTATAATTGTTATATGAGTTATTGTTTGTTTGGGTTTTTTTTTTTTTGTTTGCTTGTTTTTGATTTTTTGAGACAGTATTTCTCTGAGTAACAGCTCTGAGTGTCCTGGAACTCACTGTGTAGATCAGGCTCGTTTCAAATTCACAGAGATCCACCTGCCTCTTCTTCCCAGTGCTGGGATTAAAGGCATGCACCACCACTGTTCAGTTCTTGTTTTTTGGGAAAGAACTTAAAGTTGGGTTGGTAGGGAGGGAGAAAGGATTAGGAAAGCCTTGAGAGAAGGGAAGACTATGAGCAAGATATATTTAAAATTAAAAATTGTTTTAAGTAATAAAACCTAAAAATGTAATTCTAACTACACCCATGAGACTAAAAATTGTAAGCAGTCATAATTTTAAGTTTTTAATTTATATTTTGTGTGTGTGTGTATGTGTGTGTGTGTGTGTGTTACTCTTGGAGGCCAGAAAAAGAGTACAGGATCTCCTGGAACTGGCTGGAGTTACAGGTGGCTGTGAGCCACCATGTAGGTGCTTAGAATCAAACCCAGGTCCTCTGGAAGAGCATTCTTAACTGCTAAGCCACCTCTCCAGCACCCCCAACCACATGTTATATTTTTGATCAAAATGTTTCTCTGTTAAAATCTACTTTAGTAGATAATTGCTAAAATTGGATGACAACTAACATGTGTGAATGAATTAATTATGCTATTCTTCTTACTTTCCTCCATGAGTACAATTTTTAAAAAAGTATTCTTTCCCCCTGGGCACTGGTGATACATGCCTTTAACTAGCCCTGGGGAGGAAGAGGCAGGTGGACCTCTGTAAGTTCAAGTCCAGCCTGTGTCTACAGAGCGAGTTCCAGGACAGGCTCCAAAGCTACACAGAGAAACCCTGTCTCAAATAATAATAATAATAATAATAATAATAATAATAATAATAATGGATTCTTTTCCCATTAATGTAGACTTTGGAACTATACTTTGATAACTTGTGACCAATAATTCTTCAAACAGTTAAAGGATCTTTTAAATGCTTTTCATTTGCTCAACCATTTTGAGAAAAAGAGATGCCTAGCTCTAAGGTTTACTCTTCCAGTATATTCACTAAAATATGTAATAAAGTTGAGGCTGGAGAAGTGACTCAGCAGTTAAGATCACTGGCTGTTCTTCCAGAGGCCCTGAGTTCAATTCCCAGCAATCACATGGTGGCTCATGGATACCTAAGTGCCTTATATTAAATTTTTATTTAAAAATTTAACATTTATTTAATGCGATTTATTTGGTGTATATATTTTGGCTGCATGTATGCATGTATACCATGTGCATAACTGGTGCCTTTTGGAGGTATTCTTTAAATAATCTTAGTAATAGCTAATACAACTGCTATACAAATGGCTGCTACACTGTATTGTTCAATGTAGATGGTATTTTTCTTCTGTTATTTTTGACCAGCAAATGGTTGTATTTATTTAAAACCTGTGAGTATAGAGGGTTATGCCATAAAATATAAAGAAGCTGGTACAGTGGTACATGCCTCTAATCCCAGCATGAGTCAGAAGGATAATGAGCTCAAAGCCAACCTGGACAACATAATGAGAATCCATCTCAAATATCAAACAACAAAGCATAATAGAAAGCAAACCAGACTCACTCCTCTCATAATTTTGGCTAAGCTACCCTGTTCTCACATACCAGGGATTTCTTTCCTAAGTATTTTCTTTCTTTAACACTGAGGACATAAAGAGTGCTTACATCAAAACAAAACAAAACAAAAAACCTTAATTCTGAGGGTTTCACTTAGTAGCTACAAATATATGGAAATGCTGCTGCTGAATAAACACCTTATCTCTGTTTCATAAGCAAACTATGAAGTTAAGAACTATGGCTCATTCAGGCAGTAGTGGTGCATGCCTTTAAACCCAGTACTGGGAATGCAGAAGCAGGTGGATCTCTGTGAGTTCAAGACAAGCCTGGTCTACAGAGTAAGTTCCAGGATGGCCAGGGCTACACAGAGAGACCCTGTCTCCAAAAACCAAAAGAAAAAAAAACAAGAAACAAAAAACTATGGCTCTACAGAGGTTACACAAATGCATCTATTCATTACTCATCAGTGATGAGAGGCATTAGCCAAGATGTGGCACTGTTCAGCATTAGACAAAGAGGCACTTGGGAACTACTCATAAGCCATTTATTGACTTTATTAAATATAGAGTCTATTATGTGTTTGAAGTTGACCAAGCTGGTGGTTGTCAATGATTGAATTTTCTTAAGTGTTTTCAATACCCTTACATTTTAATTTCTTGGAACAATTCTTTGGATTATAAGACACGGAGACAAAGAAGGACAGATCCTTTTCCTTGTTTTTCCTTGCCTCCCTACACCTCTAGTTTTCATGCTTGTAAAAATTAGTATTTTCAGTCATTTAAAATTTGGCCTAAATGAAAGTTCATGTGCTCTGGTTAAAAATCCGTGCTGTCGAATTTTGCTAACAAGAACCACTACACTCCTAGAAAACTATATACTTCTAACAATACTTACTCTGAAGTACATGTAGTGAATTCTACTGTTCTAAGAAAAAGGAAAATCATGCCACATAATACAAATAGAGTTTGGGTTTTTGTTTGTATTCTACTTAGATCTGTCTTCTGGAAATAACCATGCCTTACCATGGTTAAGACTTTGTAAAACAGTCACCTGATTGTTTTCAATGCTGGGGATTGAGCCCAGGGCCTGGCTCATACTAGTCAAGCTTTCTCTCTGAGCCCAAATGTTCACCTCCATAAACTCATACTAGCCACGTGTCACTGTAATTTATCAATGATAGGTAACAGAAAAGGTATGCCATTCTCTAATGTGAAAAATGTCTCTAAATTTATGTAGAAATGTATTCTTTATAAGTTTAACCATCAGTTTTGAGTCTATATTTAATAATTTTAGTGAGACTCTCCGAAAATTGGTAATTCAGCAATCATTTCAACTACCTTAGCAAGTGTAGATATCCACATAATTTAAGTAATAGGTGTAGGTTTCTATTTATAAACACAAGAGTGAAAAGCCTTATCAGATGTATTTGTTTTCTGTATTTCAATACACCATGCCCTAATATTTATCCAAAAAAATAAGAAAAGTATAACTCAAATATGCAGCACTTTTGAAATACCTCCTACTTGCAAGTGATATTCATCGTTTTGTTTCTATAGTCTTAAAAACCTGTGGGAGTTAGTTTTTTCTGAGACAGAGTCTCACTCTGTAGACCAGGCTGACTTCTAACTCACAGGGATCCACCTGCCTTTGCCTCTCAGTGCTGGGATTAAAGGTGTGCATCACCACACCTGGCTTCACTATGTTTCTTATGATATTATAATTAATTTAATGTTAAAATTCACATTTTGTTAAAATAACTAGAAGGTCAAAGATATTAAGATGACAGATACAAGTAAGCTGGAGTATTCTTACCCACAGGCACTAGCTTAACAAAACTTTTTCAAGAAATGGTGATGTCATCCGTTGGAGAGTAGTGATACCTCATCACTAGCATTATGATTGTTTTTGCTGTTGTAGACTTCAATTTAGCAAGAGCAAAGAAGATCTATAGGAAATAGTGACATTTGGATAGCTAGGGTAAAAGGGAGGTGTATGTACTGGCATTTAAGATGGAAGCACAAGCTTGAACAGACATAAAAGAAATAGCATGTTGTGATGAGTAACAGGAGGTACATTCAACTGAATTGGAGAATACAGAATATTAAGGCATGTTTGAGAGTGAAGTAGCTCAGGGAAGAGTGTGAGCAGAATCTGGTGTGTGTGTGTGTGTGTGTGTGTGTGTGTGTGTGTGTGTGTGTGTATGTATTTGGAAACACTGGATAACTGAGACCACAAGAAGAAAAGACTATTTAAGATGTGTAGACAGTAAGAGTAGAAGGCTAAGCATAAAATTCTGGAGTTCACTGGTATTTAAGCAGCAAGACAGGAAGAGGACTGTTCATGAAAAAATACATGCCAGGCAAGCACTCTATTACAATTCTATACTCCCAGTCTCTGATCATGATGATCTCAAGTGAGGCCGGATTCTTCACAGTTAAGGTGCCACAATCTAGATCAGAGGAAGTAAATATGGTGAATGGATGTACTTTTAAGGAATTTGGAGAAGGAAGAGAGATTAGATAGCAGCTAAAGGATATCAGAAGGTTCAGGGAATGAATATATTAACGGGGCACTCTAGACTGTAGATTCTAGAGAGAGTTAAAGTAAGGCACTATTGGATCCAGGGACTGCCTTATGGTACAAGACCTTGCTTGGGAGGAGGCTAGAAAAGAAGGGTATGGATGCAGAAGAGAAGAGGAGAGGAGAGTTCTGGGAAAGGACTCCTTGAATTCTGATGTTGGGGGTACTAAGATATAATAAAGATCCAGTGCCAGTTTGCAACAGGACAGAGACACGATTAAATGGAATTTTAAGAAAATTAGTTTGGCACAAGCATGCACAATGAAACAAGGAGAGGCTATAATTCAAGAAGGAGGTGATGGCAACTCAAACCAGAGTGGTGCCAAATAGGAATAGAGAAAATGAAAAATTTAAGTGAATTTCCAAATGTATGATGACATAATTCTGGGAAAATTGGACATAGGGCAATTCAAGGAGAAGAGTCAAAATGGCTCAAAGATTTCAAATATCACCCTGGGAGAGTAGAATGTTAGGGTCACCAGCAGAAATGTGGCAACTAGAAATACAACCCACTTGGGGAAGAAAAATGTTGAGTTTAAGATATACTGAGTTAGAATCAGGTTAAACATATCTATCACCTTAAATATGTATCTCTTACTCATGGTGAAAAGCTATAAAATACCCCCCCCCCCAAAATCCAGTTGATGGTGACAACTCTCAAATTTTAAACTTTGAATAAAAGTGAAATGTCCTACAAATGAAGATTGAACAGAGAATAAAGTCGGGGTACAAAAGAGTAAGAAATGGTGGCACAAGCCTTTAATCCCAGGACTCAGAGGCAGAGGCAGGTGGATCTCAGTAAGTTTGAGAGCAGCCTGGTAAACAAAGCAAGTTCCAGGACAGCCAGAGCTATTACACAGAGAAACTCTTTCTCGAAAAACTAAAAAAGGAAGGAAGGAAGGAAGGAAGGAAGGAAGGAAGGAAGGAAGGAAGGAAGGAAGGAAGTTAGTTCATTCATACAGGTATAGGACCAAGGATGTAGCTCAGTGATATAGCACTTGCCTGGACAACAATGCCCTAGTTTGAGTTTCATCACATACCCCCCAACCCAATAAAACATATAGTTTAGAGGAATCTACACATGCCTACATCAGAAGAAAATGAAACAAAATTTGATATTTTAGATATATTAGATTAAGATTATTCTTACAGATTTTTGCTTTACTTGACATATAGAGGGTTCTGTTATTATTCATGTCTCAAACCCCAACCAAAATTTTTTATAAGAGACAGGGTCTTACTCTATAGCCCAGGCAGGCCTGAACCTTCTTATGTAACCCAGGTTGGCCTTGAACTCATGATACTCTTCTTGTATTAGTCTCCAAAGCACCATGCCTGCCTTCTAGCAGACCTTTTAAACAGTCCTTTTCTTAAAATGTTAACTATTTAGCATCAAATATTCTTCCTAAATATGAAAATGTATACAACAAAACTAAACAATTTTCCAAACTATATTCATGTCTAGTGATTTAAATACTGGCTTATGTGTTTCAGACTTTTCTCTAATTCCAAGATACTACTAGCATTATCCCTTTACACATAATTCCAGCATTTTTAGACTATGTGTGTGGGTGTGTGGGGGGGAAGATGTCAGCAGGGACCTACAAGAGGCTAGACACAGCAAATGTCAGTGCTCTGTTTTAAATGAAGCAAGGAAACTGGTTGTGTGGCAAGTAGAATAGAGCCACCAGGAAGTTTTCAAGAACACAAATTATGCTTCCTTGCTATGTACTCATTGAATTTTAGAAAATAAAGGGAGGAGTTGGAAGATGAAATTATGGGTCGAAGTATAAAATACCATTTCTGTGTTTGGTCATGTAAAATAATCTGCATAAAAAGAACCCTGGATACCAGGATCATAATTAGTTTGAATAATGTTCTCCCTAGTGACAAAAGGAATGGAAGTAAAACAGTGCAGTAAGTTGGCGCCTGAACATTGCAGGCTATCTGCAAAAATCCTGAACTGAGAAAAACTGTCTTATAATTTCCTAATCAAAAATAAGGCCTAAAAGTCTCCCCAAAGCCTTCCACCATAATCGAAAAAATATTTGGTAAAACAGTCATTCAATGATTTAAAAGTGTATTACAGTCACAATAGTTAACATATTAAAAAATTAAAATATGACACAATTGAGGAGTTGATACGTTGATTTTATGAAAGCACTCAATTGAGTCAAAGGGACTAGGTGAGCCATCATCAAAATTAAAGATAGTGAGACATGATGAAAAGGAGCAAATCTATTTTGAAAATGCAGTAAAGACTCCATAGTTAAGAGCATGAACACAACACCATATTCAAAATTTTAAGTATTTACAATCCAAGCAAATAAAAACAGGGAAGCATTCTCCAAAGCTCAGATATCAATTTTTCTTTTACTGTGCAACCAAGATGATATGAAGTCCCTACACACTTTATTTTCTCAAATGTGTTACAGGGTTTCAATGGGGGGGGGAAGCCATTGGATAAGTTTTAGAGAAATCATCCTCAATTCATCAAAGGCCAATTTTCCTATATATTTAACGTTTGTATATTCAGTGTTTGGGCATACAAAATCCCCTGTAGGCATCTTAATTTCGGAGCCAAAGGGCTTAGAAACCACGTACTCCAAACCCTTCATTTTGGAGATGGAGAACCCAAGGCCCTGAAGTAAGAATCAACTGACCAAGGTCATAGGGCCAGTAAGAAGGGAAACGGAGATTAACAACCAAAATCTCTCACCCTTTATCCTTTGCTGTTTCTACTTTGCATAGATTCCTATCAACCTGAACCTCTAATGGTGTGATATTAAAGGAACGTCAGAGTAGTGCGTTCAACAGAGAAAGGATGACGATATTCATTCATATAAGCATTGGCTAGGAAGAATGGATGCATAAATACGTGGGAGGATGAATATTTATATTATTCACAAAATGCACCACAGTTTTGTTTGTAACAATCCAAGCCCAGATCTTGTCACATATTACAGCAGTCACCGTTTTCCACTAGCCATCAATCTTGGCAGCAGAATCCTAGTATATTCTGCAATTTGGAGACTATTCACTTGCCAGCACACGTACAAGCGGATCACCCCTACTCCAGTGCCTCTAGCTGTCCAACCCGCAACTCTATGTCTTACACTCATTCTTTTCTCAGGGTCGATGCATCATTCTCCCCGCTTCTTTTACACTACACCTATTCAGCCTGCGGTTTCTCTATTCAGACCAGGGGTCCTCTGCTAACAGTCTGTCTTTAGTTAACCCTTCCCTACTCCGCAGGCCCTTCCATGCCCTTCTCATTCCTCTGTCGTAGCCAAATCTCAGCCTCTGCAAGCCCCGGGCCCCAATCTCTTACACAGTGATGTGGCCGGCGCCGCGCACCAACACAGGGTCTGGGGCATATCTCCGCAGATGCTCCTCGCTCACTACCCGAGGCGGGGGCGGCACCTCCTCCTCCTCCTCTTCCTCCTCCTCTTCTTCCTCCTCCTCCTCTTCCTCCTCCTCATCTTCCTCATCCTCATCAGGCCCAGTTACCGACGACGAGGACGACGACGACGGCGACGACGACGACGTTGCTGCTTCTTCTTCTTCCTCCTCCAGTTCCGAGATGGTGTCGAACTCCGCCATGTTGGGCAGCAGGATGCTCATCACGTGACCTCACGATCGCCTCCACTCTCCGGGAGAAGAGTTTGAACCTGCGGAGCTACTGGGAGAGGAGGGGGAATGGACTGAAGAGAAAGAGGAGGGGGTAGGGAAAGCACTTGAGGAGGCGCGCCTGCGTATTGGGCAGACAGAGCGGGGGTTGGAGGCGGGGGCATGAGGGACCAGGGAGTAAATTCGGTGTACGCTTGCGCGGCTCCAAGGGGAGGGGGCCGATAGAGGTGAACTCCAGGGAATTCTCGAGGTCCGGTCTGCGGGTGCTGATCTTCGCACTGCGCTTTGGACGTCAGTCTCGTACGCAGGGGACGTACATTCTCGTTTTAGTGCCTGTTAATTAATGCAGGATATATTTACCTCTATGCAGACAGTCGAGGGAAAGCACATTCTATAAAAGCAAGTTTAGGATTTTGCCCAAAATATCTCAAGGTACACACACGTATGTCAATCTCTTACGCAGAGGTTGTTCAATCCTGAGAGAAGGGTAAACATTTTTATTAACATTTTACAAAAGAAGAAACTTTCTATTAATTTCTCCCACTGAATGGCACTTTGGGGACTTGCTAAGTGTCACAGACTGTGCTAAGTGTTCTCTGTGTGTATCTCATTTAATCTCCCCACAACCCTATGATGGGTGTACCATGTTGACTCAAATAGCACACAAGGGAAATCTAGATACAAAGAGAGCAATTTGTTCAAGGTCATGGAGCTAGTAAATGACAGACAAGCTTTTAAATCTGGAGTCTCTCTTCCTACTCTCAAAGCTCTGTACTCTTAGCCAAACAGCTATAATACCTAAAGTTGCTTGGAAAGGCTGAGTGGAGTGGTGCATTTTAGTTGGTTCTTATGAATAAGAATATGCAAGTTTGCAACTCGGGGTTTGAAGCCAGGTGTAGTGGCTCATACCGTTAAACCCAGCACTTGGGAGGCAGAGGCAGGATAATTTTTTTGAGTAAGGCTAGCCTGGTCTACAAAGCTAATTTCAGGACAGCTAGAGTTACACAGAGAAACCCTGTCTTGGAAAAGAAAGAGCTGGGGTGGTGGCACAGAGGCAGAGGCAGGCAGATATCTGTGGGTTTGAGGTCAGCCTGATCTACAGAGCGAGTGCCAGGACAGGCTCCAAAGCGACACAGAGAAACCCTGTCTTGAAAAAACAAAAAAACAGAAGAAAGAAAAAAAGAAAGAGGAGGGAGGAGGGAGGGAGAATGAAAGGGAAAAAAAGGAGGGAGGATGGAAGGAAGGAAGAAAGAAAAAGAAATTGGGGTTTTGAGGAGTGGAGCTCGAGAGTGTGTAAAGGGCATGCCAGTTTAGAGACATGTTAATTAACATCACTTGTTCTTTAGACGTTACATTCCTCCAAATGCCATGGCTAGATTAATTCAAGCAATCTGGTGAAGTAGGCACTTTTATGTGTCTTTATTGGTGAAAATTTGATGGGCTGGAGAGATGACTTAGCAGTTAAGAGCACTCACTGGCTGCTCTTCTAGAGGACCCAGGTTCAATTCCCAGCACCTACATGGCAGCTCACAGCTGTCTGTAACTTCAGTTCCAGGGATCTGACACTCCCACACAGATATACATGTGGACAAAACACCAATGTACATTAAATAAAAAGCTGAAAATTGAATATCAGGAAATTTAAATAATTCATTCAGGTCTGTAATGACCCTTTTTCACAAACACACCCCCATTTCAAATGTTCTACCTCATCTTCTCTATACTACTAAATACAGAGACGACATATTTCAAGTTTCTAGATAATGTACTAAACTGGTTCATACCAGGCTGCAAGGCAGAATTTGTGCTATTGAGACTACAGAGTAGTGGAATGAATGTGTGGTCCAGGTTCTTTATATTAACACCGGCTTCCCTATGCCTTCTGCTGCACTGGAGCTTTCATTTTGAATAGATGGTATGACTGGGAAAACAGACAGAGCCTGGAATTTAGAATGAGCCTTGTATCAGCAGCACAGTGGTAATAAGCAAAATATTTAGGTATTAGAGACTGTTCAAATATCAAGGAATTGGTGTTTTTAATGTTAATTGTTTTCTGTTATATTCAATAGCTTGGCTGTTTTGCAATTGAAAACGTTGTAACATTATCTATAAGAAACAAGTGTAGCTTTTTGCTGTATAAAGAACTTTACTTTAGCCAGAGATTAGGATAAAAGATAGAACCTTAAAATATTTCATAATAATCATTGGTTTTCCTGGTACAATTAAACATATCAACAATGAGAGTGAATGACCTTAAACCTGAGATCAACTTCAATATTTTGTGCTTGTTCTTTTTTAAGAAGCAAGACAAAAACCACAGAGAATTACATATTTCCCAAACATGTCATCTATAAAGAATCCTGTAAATCAATATCTAGAGGGAATAATAATATTTTGCTGATTACTGGTCCAGTGGCAGCTTCTCCTTGTCATCACTCAAGCTTAGTCTAGAAAGGAATAATTGACAGAAAGGGAAAGGAGTGAGAGCTAGATTTTGTATTAAATGCAGTAAGACATTGGAACTATTGTAAACTCAGAAACAGTGGCCAGGGGAGATGGAAAGCAAGGAGGGAGAGAGGAGTGGGGAAAGTTAAGAGATGTAGTTTAGTTGGGAGAGTGCTTGCCTATCACGCAGGAAAACCCTCGTTCTAATCTCTAGCATAGAGTAACCTGGGAATAGGGGTGCATATTTGTAATCCCAAAAGTTGGGAAGTGGAGGCAAGAGGATCAGAAGTTCAGGTTCATCCTTGGTTACACAATAAGTATGAGGTCAGCTTTAGACACTATCTCAAACAAAATAAGACAAACTAAATAAATTGGAAAGAGGCCGCTGACATTTAATCAGAAGCAGAAAGGACAAAGTAGTTTAGGGGAGTGCTGCATTTGGCCAAGTGTGCAAGCACAAACCGATCAGCTCATCTGTTTTCCTGCACAGACACTGTGCTGAAAAAGCATGTGTGATTGCACAGGTAATCACTTCTGCCAGGAGAATTTAGACAGGGAAAGCTGAGAAAAACACGTTTTGTGTATTTACTGTCAGTGAACACATGAAGCATGATGGCTTTTAAATGATAAATTAGCTTTCAGGATAGTTAATTGGGGAGTAGATAGAGAGGAAAGCAGGTGCTGTAAGGTTTTGTTTACCTAATGTGCTAAGGAGGTCATGAGGGCAATTTTCTCATCCAATAGATGTAGGCATGAGGCACAAAGTCTCAGGTGTAATGGTCTGAGAGGGTTTCACGGTTTTAAAAGATAGCCTTGTTTATTTGTTAAAGTATGCAATTAGTCAATTTACAGAATTGTGCAATCATCACCATAAACTAATTTTAGGATATGTCCATTGCCTCATTTCAATATCCTCCATTCAAATTCTTAATCCTATGTAATTATCAATCTGTATCGTGAGTTAGTATTTCTTTAGCAAGACTTTTCAAATAAATTATATTATAAAATATGTTGTCTCTGACACCTTCTTTTGCTTAGTGTATTTTTGAGGTTCATCATATTGTGTCATTTATTAGGACTTCATTCCTTTTCATGGACAAATGATATTTCATTGTTGCAGTATTTGCCTATTCATTCACTTGGTGATGACATTTGAGTTCTTTTTACATTTTGTATATTGTGAAAATGCTGTTATGGACATTCATATGTCTCTGTGAAACATCTTTTTTTTTTTTTTACAGGTTCATCTTTTTATTGGACATGTCAACAAGAGGCTTAGTCAAAAAGACCAAAACCCATGTCATCATCAGAGTCCTCAGATTCTTCCTTCTTTGCTTCCACTTTCTTCTCCTCAGCTGGGGCAGCAGCGGTAGAGTTGGCAGGGCCATCCGCTGGTGCAGCTCCAGCTGCTGGAGCAGGTCCACCAGCCCCTACGTTGCAGATGAGGCTCCCAATGTTGACATTGGGCAAGGCCTTTGCAAACAGGCCAGGCCAGGCCAGAAAGGTTCAACATTGACACCGGCTGCTTTAATGAGGGCATTGATTTTATCCTCCGTGACCATCACCTCGTCGTCGTGAAGGATGAGGGCGGAATAGATACAGGCGAGCTCAGAGATGGAGGCCATGTTGCGGACTGCCAGCACGGTGCTAGTCGCCGGATTGAAGTGTGGGCCTCACCCCAATGCGGCCATAGCGTCCTCAGAAGAACAGAGCACCTTGGCAGCAGCTGAGGAAAGGCTCTGTGAAACATCTTTTAATTTTTTCTTTCTCTCTCTCTCTCTCCCTTCCTTCCTTCCTTTTTGGAGACACGGTTTTTCTGTGTAACAGCCCTAGATCTCACTTTGTAGACCAGGCTGGTCTCAAACTCCTAGCCTCTGCTTCCCAAGTGCTGGAATTACAGGCATGTGCCACCACCACATGGTTTATTTATTTTTTTTGAATAGATATGCTTAAGAGGAATTCTGGGCCACATATTTAAGACTGTGTTGAACATGGTGGCTGTTGAGATGGCTCAGAGGTTAAGAGCACATAAGATCTGAATTTGGTTCCCAACACCCATTATTTGGGCAGTGCACAGCCTGTAACTCCAGCTCCCACAGATTAGACGCCTTTAGCCTCTGTGGGCACCTGCACACATGTTCACCCACACAGTTAATGATAAAATAATTCTTTTATTTTAAATTTTTCATTCATTTTACATACCAACTCCCTCCTCCCTCCTCCTGCTCTCCCCCTACTTCTCCCCCCCATCCACTCCTCAGAGAGTAAGGCCTCCCATGGGGAGTCAACTAAGTCTGGTATATCAAGACCAAGGCCCACCCCCCCCCCCCATCAGGGCTGAGCAAGGTATCCTACCATAGGGAATGGGCTCTAAAGAGCAGCTCATGCACCATGGATAGGTCCTGGTCCCACTGCCTAGGTCCCCATAAACAGACCAAGCTACACAACTGTTGCCCACATGCAGAGGGCCTAGTTCAGTCCCATGCAGGCTCTCCAGCTGTCAGTTCAAAGTTCATAAGCTCCCACTAGCTTAGGTCAGCAGTCTCTGTGGGTTTCCCAGTCATGATCTTGACCCCCTTGTTCTTATAACCCATCCTCCCTCTCTGACTGGACTCCAGAGCTTCAGCCTGGTTCTTGGTTCTGGATCTCTGCATCTGGTTTCATCAATTACTCGATGTGCATTCTATGATGATAATTCAGGTAGTCATCA